AAGCAAGTTCCACTGGATCCTAAATTGTTTCTGCTAGCTTTATTCCCTGGGGAACATAACTTTAGTAAATCAGAATGCACTTTCATAGATATAAGCTCATTGGCCGCAAAAAAATGTATTGCTTTAACTTGGAAAAATATCAATAGACCTAGTGTCACGCAGTGGTTAAAACAGATGTCGTCTAATTTGCCGCTAGAAAGAATAACATATATTAGGAAATCCAAACGGTATCTTTTCGAGAGGATTTGGGGACCTTTCATTAACTTTATTAAGGACTTAGACTTGACAGAGGGTTTGTTTGAGTTCTGATCTGCCAGAACCTGTGGTGTGCCATGTTGTATAGATGTGTATAATTATATCTGACCAATTTGTATTCTTTGTGAATACCCCAGTTTTTGAGAAGCTGTGTTCTTTGTTTTGTCTTTGACTTTTTCTTCTGTTTATTATTATTATTATTTTTTATTATTTTCATTATTGTTGTATTTTATTTCTCTGGGTTGAGTTAAATACTTACTGTCATGTAATGACTACAAAGAGAACCTGTTCAAATAACTACATGCTTGTATTTCCAAAGTGTAAAAACTCAATAAAAATATGTTGGCAAAAAAAAATGTACCTTGGCTCAAAAAAGGTTGAAAAACACTGACTTATTGCACGCTAATTTGATCAAATACTTTCAGTTTTTTTTTTTCTTCACATGTTGTTGAGGGGCCAAAGAAAGACTTCAGACTAAAAAAATCCAATATTCTTCCTATTTTTCTTGGATCAGGCTTTAAAGGGTTATAGCATACTATGCTAACGTGCGTAATTTTAGCCAGATTCTAACAGAGGGTATGAACGGGGATTCTGGTTGGTTCTGGTTGTGTGACGGGGGATGATGGATGCTCCCAGACGGAGGGTGACAGTGAAAAATGAGCGGAGGGCGGTGGTTCTGGAGGTGACAGGAGCTGTGTGAGCTGAACCTGAGAGGCCCCGGCCGTGAGGGGCGGATCCACGCCATATGCCCCAGACACCTGCTCCTCATCGTCAGAAACAGCTCGTTCCAGAGGAACCCCAGCTCCGGACTCCTCAGAGCAAATCAAACCGTCATATTTTCCAGATGTTGATGTTGATGCATGTTTCCGAGGAGGAGCAGAGACAATAACAGACTGTGTGTGTTGCTTTTTCCATCTGATTTATGCACACATGTAGACGAGGATGAGGATGAAATGCTTGCAGATGTAACAAATCAATCCACACTTTATACTTTTTATTTATTTATACTTTTTATTTTATTTTATTTTATTTTATTTTTTAATTTTTTATTTATTTATTTTTTTATTTAAATTAATTTGTTTATTAATTTATTTTTTGACCTGTGGGTGGTCAGGGTGGATTGGGGGTTGACAGAACTGTGACATTGAGTTTTTATTGACACTTTGAATTTGTTCCAACAATGTCTGTCTTATGTTCAATAAACAAAGTTTGAAAAAAATTTTAAAAAAAACAAATCAATCCACACACGTTGGGGAGAGCTCCATGAGGTCCAGTGGATCTGGTTTTGCAGTGGGGGAAATAAGTATTTGAGCCCTTGCTGATTTTGCAGGTTTGCCCACTTACAAAAAATGCTTATTTTTCCTCATCAGATGGTTATCAGTTTTTATAAAATCATATGATGTGATTTTCTGGAATTTTCTTTGGGATTCTGTCTTTCACTGTTAGAATGTACATATGATTAAAGTTATAGATCGTTGCATTCTTTGTAAGTGGGCAAACCTGCAAAATCAGCAAGGGGTCAAATACTTATTTCCCCCACTGTATATATATACATTATTATATATATATCATGGTTCTTCTACAGGTTTCTTGCCCCTAAAGTCAGTTTTTCCCTCCCCGGGTCTCCTAGTGCTGCTCTTGGTGGGAACTGTTGTTCTAAATAACTCAGAGTCTGTTTGGAAAGCTGGGAGATAAATAACTGTTGTTTGAATGTGGAGCTATAGGAATAAAATTGAATTGAATTGAATCCCTGCAGACACCCCCTCAGTCCACCTGCTGATGGATCAGGGCTCGTTCACACACCCACACACAACGCTCTGCTCCCTGAGCTGGTAGTGCTAGTCATAGTAGCTGCTGCTATAAATATGGATTCAAGTGGATTCAATGGATTGAAAACAACAGAAAAGACGGCCAATGTTCAGCATCTCTGACTAAAATAAACAAACAAAAGGCTCAGTTTCCAGTGGCTGAGGCCACTCGACTGCATTGGACCAGATACATGGTACATTTAAGGTTACTGATAGCATGACGTGGGGAAAAGTGGACAAATATCTTGATCGTTCCTCTCCCAGTTGTTGAACTGAGGAGTACCGACAGAAAACATGGAAACTCCCCACAGAAAGGCCCCCAGAAGGGATTTGGACCGGGATGCGACTCCCATTCAGCCCTATTTCAGAAAGGACAATCCAATACAAAGCAACTGGAACTCATCCTGATAACAAAAAAGCCATAACTTTTAATGTTACCCCACAATAAACACTATCATACCATCAAATAATAACAAGTGACTGATTCCCCTTTTCACCCATTTAACCCTATAATGCCAAATGTATCATATGTGATTCATACGGTTTCTGAAATGTTTTGCGTCTGACACCTTTTGCATAATTTAATGGTAAAAACTTTGCTCAAAATCCTATTGTACACAATCAGATACACCTGATAACAGGGGGCAGACGACTACACAAAAAATAATCTTGACTTATCGCATTTTTAATATCCAAAATGTATTTAAGTTTTTTTCTTTTTACATATTTTGTTAAAAGGCCAAATAAGGAAATCAAACAAAAAAAAAAGCAATTTTCTGTTTCGTTTTATTCTTGGATCAGGCTTTAAAGGGTTAATATTCATTTCTCCACATGATTTATTACAAAACAGAATATCAGGATTTATGTATAAACTC